TCTCTCTCTCTCTCTCTCTCTCTCTCTCTCTCTCTCTCTCTCTCTCTCTCTCTCTCTCTGTCTCTCTCTCACTTATCGTCGCAGTCAGGGCTATAGAACAGATACACGAAAAATTATGCAAAATGTGGAATGGGCTCACTGGAGTCGAGCCTGGTCGGCCGTGTAACAAGCCGGGAAGTGAAGGAGGAGGGTTGGTCGACGTAACCGTCCCTTTTCTCCAATCTCGTGGTTATGCTGAATCAGATGAGGACGAGGACTGGGTGCTGCCGACCGGTCCTAGGCCATCCCTTAGCGCTTACAAACACTGGCTTCTCGTAAGCGTCTGCTTTTGTCTGTCTTTGATTGCCAGCTCTGTGTATGTCGGGTGGAAGCTGTCGTTGTTCGTGCGGCTATGGCGGTCAGCGAGCACTTTCTCCGTCTTCTTCTTCGTGATCGAGCTGCTTCTGTATCTCTGTCAGCTGACATGGGCAGCGGAGTTCTCTCGTCCTCCGTCTTCCCGCAAACGACTGACTCTGGGAGCTGCAGGGCCTTTTCCACGTGCCGCGATCCTGATCACTTGCTGCAACGAGGAGTTCGACGTCGTACAGGACACCGTGCTAGCTGCGCTGCGCCAGGATTACCCCCCGGAGGCGTACGGGGTGTGGGTGCTGGATGACGGGACCGACGATGAGCTCAAGGCGTGGATCGAGACGCTGGCCATCGAGTCGGCACGGGAGGTGGGTTACATCCGCCGGCCCAAACAGAAAGGCGTACCCCATCACTTCAAAGCCGGAAACCTGAACTACGCAGTGAGCAAGATCCACGACGAGTTCGTGGCCGTCCTGGATGCCGACATGATCGTGAGCTCGAACTTCCTCGCCGGCATGCTGCCACACTTCTCCTCTCCCAAGATCGCCTTCGTGCAGGCCCCGCAGGCCTATTACAACATAAGCGCAGGGGACCCACTGAACGGGAGCAACATATACTTCTACGACGTGTGTCTACCGCAGAGGGACGCCTTCCGCGTGGCGCAGTGCGTGGGCACGGGGGTAATCTTCCGACGGAGCAGCCTGAGCGACGTCGGCTTGTTTGTGACAGGAGCAGTGACGGAGGACATCGGCACGTCCTTGCAGCTGCACTCCCAGGGGTGGGAGTCTGTGTACGTGAAGGAGAGATTCCAGATGGGACTGACCCCCTGGACGCTGGATAGGTACGTGAAACAGCAGTTCCGCTGGTGCATGGGGGAGCTGCAGGTGATCTGGCAACGTGGGCTAATCTGGACCAGGGGGGAAGCATTTCCAGTTTCGCGGAGGTTGATCTACATGCAGGCTGGTTTGCACTCCTTCTTGGCCTTCTCCACAATGGGGCTCATCATGCTGGCCCAGGCGTTGTGCATATTCGAGCCCTGGCTGCTTCCTGCCGAGGCTAAGGAGGGGGATTACAGAATGCTTGTGGTGTTAATTACCCCCCATCTGCTCTTCGGGCGACTAGCTCCCCATGCAATTCATCTCCGGATTCCTGGTTTCATGTCACGGCAGCAGGTTCGGATACGAGGAGAGCAGGCCTGGTACTGGATGGCACCCTACAAGTGCCTGTCCGTACTGCGAGCGTACATCCCCTGGATCTCGAAGACCTTTGAAGCCACCGGAAGCAGGACCACGGATGACTTTAGTGGGCCGTTTGGCTTCTTGCTAGTCACAATCAAGTGGGGGCAGTTGATTGGCTTTCATCTTCTGTACGTGATCATTGCGCTGGCCGCGATTGCATGGAGAATCAGTGTGCTGAATGTGGGGAGCTGCCACGAGTTGATGTCGTCGGTGCTCGTCGTCTTATGGCAGCTGTTTAACGTGCAGCAGATGTGCCCTCCCATCCTATTTCAGCTTTTCCCGCCATCGTATCCGCTCGAGTCAGATCGACGGTCGTTGCTCAAGTACGATGACAACGGGGTGCCGGTGTTCGATCACGCACTGGGCATTCCTCCGACGGACTGGCGCGTACTCGCTCTAGAGATCTTGCCAGTGACCCAAGCGGTCGTTTGGGTGTACCTTCTGTGGGTGGCTTTGCACCCCGATTACGTTCCGGGATATTGCCAAGGGAATTTCTTTCAACGCAAGCCTATCTGAATCATCTGATTGTGGAGCCTAAGCAGCATGCAGCCATGTCGACTCCTTCCTCTCTCTCTCTCTCTCTCTCTCTCTCTCTCTCTCTCTCTCTCTCTCTCTCTCTCTCTCTCGCATCTTTTCTC